AATGTTTCCTAAACCCTAAACCCTAACCACAAAACCCTATACCATATACCAAATGGAGAGGAAAAAACCTGATTCAATACCAACTATGTAATGATTACCACTTTGCCTATAAATAGACATGAAAGCATCAGTTGTGGGAGGTAGCAAAAAAAGAGAGTGGGAATCGTGAGAGAAAGGAAGAAGAAAGGAAAAAGAGTAATAATAAGAGAAAAATAAATTTTTACTCGACTTTTACACTAAGGTATGAGGGAGGAAACATTTATCCTTTTAAATTTTATATACTATTATGTTTGTTTATTTTATGCGATATCTATGTGTATTTACTTGGTGAGGTGTCTCTAACCTCATTTACTTGCTTAATCTGTTATATTTTTGACCCTTAATAATTAATGAGGTGTTTCTAGTTTACGTTGTTTAATTATTTTATGGTGATTATCACTGTCATTTATTAGATTAATATTCTTTAATACATTCAATTTTTGTAAACTATATTATATTAAATTTTAAAAATTAAAAATATTCAAACTTATTTAGCTTAATCATTTTTATATTAATACTAACTATAATATAGTTTTGTTAAAATATCCTAAGCTTATCTTTTTATATTATAAAGATAAATGTTATTCTATAGCCATAAGAATGAAAGTTTGAATTAATTTGTAGTTGCTAAAAAAGTCCTTTAAAATCCTAATCCAATACAACCCCCTTAGTTTCATTTTTATAAAAAATTAAAAATAACTATTTACTCTTGTTTCAGTATGAGATTTCTTTTAAAAGGATTTAGCAATTGTTTTAGTTCAAAACATCTCCTGAATGTCAAACTTCATCTTTCTTTAGACTATGAGTCTATATATAAACCTGAACAATATTATGGACATAAATATCTTATTTTTTCTTGTAATCTTACAAATTATGTTGTATCATCAGTATTATTAATAGGCTAATGAATATTTTATGAACATTATTTTGTCTATTCCATAATACATGGCATTTTATCTCAACTACTCGTGGAGTACGATTTGGAAATTAATCGAGTCTTATTATGATGCTTATTTGACAAATCAATTGACCATCAATTGGAAAGCCTGCTCGGTTCACTCGGTTGGTGGGAGATCGTTATGTACAAAGTCTTCCAGACTTAAGCATTAAAAGTGTAATGAGTCTAAATGATCGAGCTACTTATTTGCTAAGAGATTGATACAGTACATAACCCTTCAGACTTGAGTATGTAAGTGTGAAGACCCTAAGTGCTTCAACTCACTTGATTGACGGGAGACCGACATGATACACAATCATTTAGGCTCGAGTGCCAAAGGCATGAATTCGTCACTAACATCTTGTAGGTGCACAATCATCCAAGCTTGAGTGTCATGGTCACGAAGAGTCTTAATGGTTAATGAACTGGTGCCAAGTGATATTGTCTTCTAGCTTTTAATAGTGTCAACTTGTTGTTTGCCTTTGTATTTTGTTACTTGCGCATTTTGGTTGATTGAAGTGTTTTTGGTTGCTAGGATCCAATATGTTTTCATTTAAACTCAGTATTCGATTGAGTTGTTGCATTTGTGCTTGAGACAAGGTCTAATCAATTATCGTTAGAGTCAGGATTTTTTTGGGTGTTTTTATTTGATGTTAGTCGTAAGATGTTTCATATATGTGCAAGTCCGGTTTTAGATGAATGTAATATCCTTTTGAATCAATATCACTTAATACATTAGAATTGTATGATTTGACCATTTTATACTTCATATAGGGTTTAGTAAATGACCAATGACTTGGCAAGTTTATCAATCACTTTGTATTTCAATGATTGGTTTATAAATGCTTGTTGTCTTTTGAATCTTCAAATAATCAATGTTCGGTTTGTCAAGTGTGTTTATTAGTTGCTTAAATAGTTGATTGGTAGTTTGTTGAAATTGTGTTTTATAAGTATTTGTTTTTCATCATATAATTTATAATTGATCGACTATTTGTCGAGTTTGTTATTTTTCAATCGTCTTGTATTTCGAGTTGTCTTTAATAGTTGTCCAGTTGTATTATGGAAATAATATTTGTTAGTTTCTTATTGTGATTGATTTCAACTGTCTTGTTTGTGTCATTTTATTCGGTGTGGACCTTAAAGCACTTTCAAGGTATAGTTCGTTTATCGACCTTAAGGCACTCTTCACACAAAAGATTTTTTTCAGTTGTCATTATCGATATCCTTAAAATGCTTTTCATATTAAGGACATTTTTTCCTGTCGCTAATCTTAAAATGCTTTTAACGTTAAAGATTTTTCTTCTTGTCACTAACCATAAGATGCTCTTCATATGCTAAGAATTTTTCTTATTGTTATTAATCCTAAGACGCTCTTCATGTAAAAGATTTTTCATCTTGTTGCTAATTTTAAGACACTATTCACACTAAGGATTTTTCTCCTTGTCATCGACTTTAAAATACTTTTTACGATAAGAATTTTTTTTGTTATCATCAACCTTATTAAGATGCTCTTTACACCATGGAGTTTTTTTCTTGTTGCCTAACTTAAAATGCTCTTCATGACAATAATTTTTCTTCTTGTAGTTAACTTTAAGATATTTTTCATACCAAAGATTTTTCTTCATGTTGTCAACCTTAAAACACTTTTCATTCCAAGAATTTTTCTTTTTGTCATTGATCTTAAGACATTTTTTACATTATAATTTTCTCATTATCACCAGCCTTAAGTTTTTTTTCGCTAACTTTAAGATGTTTTTCACGTCAATGATTTAGTAAGTGTCAAACTTTATTTTTTTTTAGACCTAAGAGTCCTCATGTATAAACTTAGATGATATTATGGATACAAATTTCTTATTTCTTCTCATGACCATGCAAATTATGTTGTATCATTATTGTCATTAATAGTCTAATAAATCTTAATATATTTTGTAATTCACATTTTATCCTAACTACTTAGAGATGATTTGAAAATCAATGAAATCTTATTATAATAGTTATTTGACAAACCCAAACCATCAATCGGAAAACCTGTCCAATTCACTTAGTCGGCGAGAGATCCAAAGGTAAAAGGCCTTCTAAACTCAAGGGAAAGACACAAAGAATCTAAGCAACTGCTAACAGACTCATATTGTACCACTTTCAAACTTATTTAATGTATTACAAATAATTTTTGTGCGCCTTCTTTTCTCCTGATGACTCAATTCCGATGTTATACAAGAGTGTATATATTAACCAGATAAAAACAAGAGTGCATTTATATTAATTTCCTTTCCGTATTTCACCTTTATTATTGTCTTATTTTAATTTTTTAAGGGTGAAATAGAAACAAATGTTTAAAGAAGTACATGTAATTCTCATTGTTTATTGTAATTTTTATTAATTAAAAAATCATTGTATTAACATAATAAAAATACTTAACATGGTCTTAAACAGATTTGTAAAAAGTAACAAAAAAAAATGGTCTTAAACAGACGAGATTAACCAATTTTATCCACCCCATTGATGAAATCATGAAAGTACACAAATTTGGTATTCGTTAATTCAATCTTAATAATGTTCCTATATTTGGTGAAGTCAATACGTACGACAGCTGTGTCCAGTATAGGTGACGTATGGTATATGATGGACGTAGATGTTTCTCTGCAATCACATCATGTCCACACACGTACAAACAGATTTTTTTGTACATTCATTTTTTTATAACAAATTTAAAACATGATTAAATTCTTAGATAAAGACACACAAAAAAAAGAAATCAATATAGTTTCGAAAAGCAAAACCAATTTAAGACATGATAATAAAGGTTAAATGAGAATGATAGTATACATGATCAACAGGAACTACTTAATAATTCTTTAAAAAGCAAAAGAAGATAGAAGCGAGAGTTGTTTTAACGCGTGCTAATGCTAACGCCAGAATGAGGTGTCTAGCGGAGACAATGGAAAGGATTAAGCGAAGTGTGAGTTGATATCCTCATGTCCAAATTCCAATTAATTGTCCAATAAGATGCATACAAAGTATAGTCTAAAACGAGTTTGTCCAATAACTATGCAACTTAGATAAGAAGAACTTCACTAAATATTTTAAACTTATCCTCTCCATTAAAATATCCTATCAATTTAAAACCCACCTGCTAAAGTTTAAACAAAATAATTACAATATCCCCAACTTTTATACTATTTCTTTTCCAGAATATTCTCCGACAAAAAGTTAGACATTTTTTTTTTATATTAGTAAGTTAAGATGATGATAAGAAGATTTAAACATAAATTATACATATCGTTTCAATTTTTCATTATTAGAATCATTCTAATAGTTTGCAATTGAAAATTAGAGTTTAATGCATTAAATAAATATATATATATTTAAAAAGTTGACAATTTTTTTTAATAAATATTAAATTTAATTATGTTTTTGATTTATATAATTTCATAAATTTTATTATTTAGTTCATGTTTTCCAATGACTCATTATCGAGGGATAAGATCGACTTATTCGTTTGACTTAAAATTTTTGAGGTTGTATTTCCTTTAACGCGATACACAATCAAATAATAGGATTGACTATAGTGATTCAAGCTTTTTAGTTCAAGACTTTTGAGAATTAACTGCACATACATTGAATGGATCGATAAAGATTAAAATGATTTTTTTAAAAATTATAGAGATCAAAAGGTAAAATTTTATAAAATTATATATAACCAAAATGATAAATTAAAATATTTTTTACACACACATACACTATGTTATATATATAACTTTAAACAAGATTCAAATACTCTTTCGATTATTTTTATAGTTTCATAAATTTTTTCCCTTAGTTCATATAAAATTAAATAAAAAAATGGAGTGTTTGGAGACCGAAACTAAATTTACGAAATTATAAGAAAAGATTAAATCTTGAAATAATGATTTTCCTAAAAAAATAGGAAAAAAAAAATAATTTAATGAAATATAAAGAAAAGATAAATAGGTATCACGTGAGAATAAGGTTAATATAATAAGATGTCCCAGTGTCCCTGGAGAGGAGGAACGTGGAGGATTAAGATTAAGGTGAAATGAAATGACGTAGAAGAAATAAATGAATCCGGAAGCAATTATAAATACAAGTTACGATCAAAACGAATCTGCACATAAAAATCTAGAGCTTCCGTGGCACTGATTGCTTTGCTAGTAGCCAAGAGAGAACGGTTTTCTGTTTCTTTCCCATTTTCATCCCAACAACATGGCGGACACCTACGTTTTGGCCACCCAGAAGCGCAGCCGCTCCGACCACATCGACGCCGCCGACGCCAAGAAGCTCGCCACGCAGGGGACCGCGGACCCGGCGGCG